AGGGCTTGGAGCTTCCAGGAAATCTCCACCAATGAAGTAAAGGAAAAATAATTGCCTCTATTATTCTGTGAGCAACAAACCAAACTGAGTTGGGGTCTCAGACAATTCGCTCATATGATTGCAAAGACAGACAGAAACTCCCAGATTGGAGAGGACTCCCCTGAAGGCTCCCAGATTGGAGAGGGTGCAGGTCGGGCTGAGGGACCCACATCCCCCAGTGTGTGAATGTCATGCACCGGGCCTCTAGTCTAGGTATAATGTTCTAAAGGATAGAAGATATCCTATTCTTTTCTGATTAGACTAAATCAAAGAGCCTGAGTTAGTCTGGAAGCTACACACCAAAAGGAAGAGAGTTACAGGCCAGTTGTTTGTCTCAACTTGGGCTGTGTGATGCTTCCTCATGATTAGATTCAGGTTGTGCATTCTTAGCAGGAGTACCACAGAAGTGACCCTGTGATCTTCTTGGTACATAATATCAGGAGCTGATTTGTTCCATTACCATTGAAGTTACGTTTAATGACTTGGTTAAGATAATGTCTGCCAGGTTTCTGCATTTTAAAATAGCTATTTGGGGAAGTTCATTTGAGATCTTGCTCTCTGGCATATGTTGTCATTTTAGCTCAAATAAACTCTTAAAATCCTCATAGAACAAGCTTGCAAACAGCAGATTACCCACCCCTCATCTGGCCTATGAACCTGTCAGGCTCCTTAGGGGCACCATCCATCCATTTTTCCATCAGAAACCAGGGGTGAGGCCACATAGGTGTTCTGCCTGTGTGTAGGTTGCAGTGAACTCCTCGGATGGTGGAGGGGCAATCCCGCAGGGAAGCAGAGTGGCTCTGTTTGTGCCACTCTGAGAGGAGCGTGGGGTACCTTTAGTCCCCCACTTTTAAATGAGTAGACAGCCCAGGACCACTAGACATTTGAGGAAATGATTAATATGAAACAGAAAAAACAACTTGGAGAAAGAAAGGACTATTCAAGGAGAAGAAAAGGACTATCAATATCTGCAGAGAAATATTTTAAAAGATATTTTTAATGCCAGCTTTATTGAGGTTAATACAGTGAGTTTTAGTATATTCTGTGTAGCCACCACAACCACTAATAAAAAAGGATATTACAACCATGAAATAACAAAATACTAATATTAAAAACAGGCTATTCAGAAAAATTTTAAAGCTCTTTTTTTTAAATATATTTTTTATTGATTAAGATATTACATATGTGTCCTTGTCCCCACGTTACCCTCGAACTCCCCCGCCCCCACGTTGTCCGTGTCCATTGGTTAGGCCTATATGCCTGCATATAAGTCTTTTGGTTGATCTTTCCCCCTTACCGCCACCCTCCCTTACCCTCCCTCCAAAGCCCGACAGTCCAATCAATGCCTCTCCGTCTCTGGATCAGTCCTT